CGCTGGACGTCGCCGGTCCTCGCAGTGCCCAGCGGCTCCGGGTCCACGCTGTGACCGTGGCAAAGCGTGCACTGCGGGAGTTGGAACGGGCGGGGGTGTGGCCAAAGGTTCCGGTTGGCACGGTTGAAGGAAGAGACCTGCTAAAGACATTCGCTTTTCCTCAGTCTGTTTCTTTTCTTCTTTTGAATCTTAATGGTTCGGAGTTACTGAAGCGATAACGCAGTTTCTGGCTGGGATACTTGTGCAGGACAGGTCTCTGCAGAGGACCGGGCTTGGGCGAAATGGCCCTCGTGACCTATGAAGAGGCCGCTGGAGTGGGGCTCCAGAAATTCCACAAGCCCTTTGCCACCTTCTCCTTTGCCAACCACACTATCCGGGTGCGGCAGGACTGGCGGCAACTGGGAGTCGCAGCAGTTGTTTGGGATGCGGTAAGTAACCTCCGTGGTCCCTCTGAAACCTACCACACTTCATTGTAATTAAGCCTGGTTTTCATTGTAAACAAAAAAACAAAAAAGCCTCCAGATTTACTGAAATGTAATTCAAATACCATACACTTCATCTATTTAAAATGCACAAACTCAGTGGGTTTTGAAAAAAAGTGTGTAATGGGACCATCACCACCTCAATTTAAAACATTTTTTGCCATCCCTCCGCCCCTTCCCCTTCCCAGTCACCCCTTTTCTTCCCTCAAATGTATTGCATTTGAAGGGTGAGGCTCTGAAAGCTGAGGCAACTTCAGTGACTTTGTTGGTAATTATCCAGTGGGTAACAGAAGACTGAAAGCAAAGCAGGCAGGAGCTCTGACCACTTTGGTGACTCTTAAGTTAGGCTTTTGAAAATAAGTGACAAAGCCCATAAATGAACATCATGTTTTTACGTTTTCCATAGTAGCAGAAGGGTTGCAAAATTATAATTGCTTTTCTACCTCTTCTAGCCCTCCCTACCTCTCTCAGGATGGTGACCTGTTTCTTCAGCCCCTGGCGCCACACTTAGGACTCTGGGGTTGGAGGGCTCACTTCATGTTAAATAAATGATTGGCATAAATACAGTTTTATGTCTTAACATTGTATTAGGGATGTCAGAAAACATTCAGGATTTTTTGTTTTTTGAGACGACAGGGTCCCACTATGTAGTTCAGGCTGGCTTTGCACTCACTATGTAGCCCAGGCTGGCCTTGAACTCACTGTGATCTTCCTGCCTCAGCCTCCTGAGTGCTGGCATTACAGGCATGTGCCATCATCCCCGGCCTAAAATACTAACATACTGAACCTAGTAATACCGGTTCTAGGAAATCAGATCAAAATAACTACGTGGAAACTGTTCCCATAAGTAATAAAAATAAATGAGAATGAGAGACGCAGTGCTTCCTAAATGCTCACCAAGTAGAGGAACTGCCAATTACAGTGTGAAAAACAACATAATGATGTCAACATTATATAATTCTTGTTACAAGAGTATAGGCAAATGCTAACTCACACATCAAGTTTTGGGCAAGCTCACCTACTGATGCTCCTGACATAGAGTGAGGGCCATGTGGGGCAATGAGAGTCAGCAGTGCAGCTCAGGGAGACACCTGGGCCTTACTCTGATTTTCCCTCTGGGTGCAGCTGTGGCCTTTTTGGTCAGAGCTTGGTTTAGGAACCAGATACATCCTTAAACACAATCACAGGGGATGTTCGTGTCAGTAAATCAGTGTAAACATGGCTGTGACGCAGTGAAAAGTCAAGCTTTGCAGCTTCACCAGGCCCTAGATCGTGCTGCTGCTATAAGGGGCTTTGGTGTCTGTGCCCACCCTAGGGGCTTACCCTGCTGCAGTACAGTTTGCTGTGCGTGGTCTCTTCTGCCAGCATGTAGCCAACCTGGAACTGTGTAGCTCCCGGAGTACTGCTGACCTGCATCCTAATCACACCATGTTTTGACTCAGGCTGTCGTTCTGTCCACATACCTGGAGATGGGCGCTGTGGATCTCAGGGGCTGCTCTGCTGTGGAGCTGGGTGCCGGCACAGGGCTAGTGGGCATCGTGGCTGCCCTGCTGGGTGAGTGTAAGCAGAACTCATTGAGAAGTGCATTTGTTGTTTTTCTGACACAAAACCCATTGTTGGTGTCCCTCTTCCTGGTTTAATTTCTTTTCCCTGTGCTTATGAGTTGTGAGCCAACGTGCAAGTTTCTTCTCTCTCACTGTTATCCTATAATTTCTACTTCTCACGGTAGATTGCCTTGTCCCCTTTTCTCCTGTGCTACCAATGATGTGACCTAGAAGTGACTTTGATTTCAAAGAGAATAACCCACATATATAGTTTTTCAGGTAAAGGTGCTTAATTTACACCAAATTATCTCATTACTGATAAGAAAAGAGTTACTAGAAGGGGAATGATGTTTTTTCTCTTCTGAGAAGCAAAGTTTGTGCAAAGCTTTGTAGGCTGGTATAGAAACATGTTTGTGTGGTAAATTTTATAGGTTTAGTTCTGGGTTTTCACATTTCTTCAACTTTAACTATCTGGGTGATTTTGGATAAGCTGTTTAACCTCCAGAAGATCATTTCCCCATGTGTAAAAAGGGAATAATAACAGCATTTACGAAAGTAATGAAATTGTGCGTAGAAGTCTGTCGTTGCACAAAGGAAAGGCTTTGTGAATATTGACTGCTATTCTGAATATTTCTAATCTACAAATATGTATCTGTGGATTTGGAAAAGTCAGGTACAGTATTTCAGATAGTACCACAGAGCAGCCAAGCAGTAGTTAGTTGTTCCTACAGGAGACTGGTCTGTGCGTCAGGTGGAATAGCACAGAGCAGATGTTCTTGTGACTGGGAGATGTATGCTTGATGGCCCCACTCCACTCTCACTCCTCGGAGTCCTTTCCTGCCCACCCCCAGGGATTCATTGCTGCCTTCCTTCATCTTGCACGTACGCAGTTGTTTTGTGCATCTGTCTCTCCTGGTAGTGAAGGGCTTGAGGAATGGGACTGCATATCACTCTGTGTCCTTGGCCCTAAACAGTCTGCATATGTATATATGCGTATATATACACATACATATAAAAATATGTTTAACATAAACATTTCTGTGTTCTACTGTATGATTTCAAATTAAGTGCTACAGAGTGTTAGACTGGAGCAGTTTTGATGTTGAAACCCGAAGATAAGAAAAAAAATGTCTTTCGAAATAGAACTATAAAAACAGGTAGACAGTTTGAAACATAAGAAAGGGATTGATTGTTTTCCTTTTAAAAGGCACCCCTCCATCTTAGTCACTTATTCCTGATTTCAGGGAGCACCTACTTACCCATGCTTGGTAGATCATTGTGGTTAGAGCAGTGAACAGTAGGCAGATGGGTGTCTCGGAAATGTTATCTTCAAAGTATAGTGGGAGGGGGAGAATAAAGATAAATTACATTAAAAAGCCCCCCAAAAGTGGTTAGTGCTACTCAGAATGTTAATATAGGGCGAGGAGACTTTCTTGTTAAAAAGCAAGTTACAGCTGCTCATTATGGAGCAGTTCCTATGTTCTGGGGGAGGGGTGTTGTGTCGTTATTCTCAGGGTGACCCTAAATGTAAATGAATGAGGCCTTAGAGTTCTTGTGAAGTGAGACCGGAGTTAACAGAGAAGACATATCAAAGTCACAGAGCTAATGGTTGTGGTTAGAATGTGAATCCAGTCTGAACCTCACTCATTGGTTATTAGTTTGAAAATTTCTTCAGCCTTTATGCAATTTGGAAACTATTGGTAGAAGAAAAATATCCCGCCTTGAAGAGAGGATTTTTTAAATTGGGTCAAGGTCAGGGAATTTGGATTTTAAAAGCTTCCTATGTGATCTGATGTATGACTAGGCCTAGGGACCACTGTATTAAAATGTAACAGGAAGGAACTGATTTACTTTTTTCTAATTCTGGTACAAATCTCTACTGATTTTTTTTTTTTTTTTTTTTTTTTTTTT